TAACTGCACTATTTGACGCTTCTATTTGCGTCATAGATATAAAGAGCACGCCCCAAATGTACTATTTAGCAGTTTAGCACCAAAACAATTAGAATTTTTACAACTGCGCTGTAACCACAGTATTTGACGCTTCTATTTGACTCTCAAATATGAAGTGCACCCCACTAATGTCCGAGTTTGCAGAATTCTTTACTAATCTGTCCCTGAAAGCGGCAGCATCCTCTCCCTGCACTAATAAAAACTCATGTGTGTGAGGCGCTACGTGACTCCAGCTTATATATAGAGGTTGGGTCACATGCTGCATGTGACTAATTGATACTCTTTTATAAAGAAGTGGGTTTTTAATGATTTTTTTATATTTTTTGATATCATTCCTACAGTCAGGGAGGGGGTTAAGAAATGGACTCTACCATTTTCCTCTTAGCATTACATTAACAATTCATAAATTGCTAAAGATTGCTATAGCAGTTTTAAATACCTTTATATTAGAAATATACAATTTAACTGCATTTACTATATGTGGGCACTGTGGTCAAATGCAAATATTAACCCCTTAAGGACAGCGGGCGTGCTATGCCATCCTTGGGGACCCGGCTTTAAACGCCGGGGGGCGGCATAGCACGTCCCCGCCGTCTTATGTATTTACCCGGTCGCGGTCCCACGCTGGCGATCGTGGTGGGGGGACACACCTGGCATCCCAGCGAATCCTCCTGCTTCCGATCTGGCCCTCCTGGGCCATGTGATCGCGAGGTCCTTGCGAGGACCTCACGATCACATGGATGGCATAGCCTTCCACAGCATTGCCAGTGTTTGTTATCAAGTGGCTACTAAAAAAGACTGGACATACCCCATTTGCAATATCTTGGGTTGTCTACTATTGCATCATGGGGGTATTCTCATTCCTGGGCTACCATATGGTCTCAAAGGCAACTTAACCAATCTGGTGAATGTAAATGTGAAAAAACTGAAAAAATTTAACATGCTATATTTGACCCGGTAACTTCCCAAAACACCATAAAACCTGTATACAGGGGGTACTGTTTACACATGAGACATTCTGTTTTAGCAAGCCATACTGCTAATAATTCCTACAGTGTTAATATAAATACCTCATTTGAAATATTGCAAAATAAGGGACTCTGTGTTCTAGCTAACATTTTTCATTTCTCAAATATTTGTATAAAGGCTGATTGAATAAGTAAAAAATTAAAATTATGTAAATTACATAAAACTGTTATTTTATGAAAATTTACATTCTAGCTAGACATACATTGATTCAAATATATGTTATGCTAATAGTTTTCCATCCAATAAGTACTCAGTAGTATGGGGTTAAATGTTAGGATCATATTGTATCAATCATATATCTTGATTGGGGGAAGAAGGAATGTTTCTAATTCAGGGTCATTAGTACTTTTGCAGCATTTGACAACTCCAGCAATATACTGTATAATTCGTATAGGCTGAATATTGGAATAATTTACACAAATACTATTAAATAAACCATGCATAACCTAATAAATATATTTAATATGCAATAAGTATATACATCTATCAAGTGCACCTGCTATGTGACATTAATTAATTACATAACATGAATTATATGTGAGTAGTATTACACATGGGAACAAGTCAAAGAATATCTATAATATGATTGTAATCGATTTCTATTTAAATAATACGTTATTTCCCATTGGTATGCCTACTCAGAAATAATGCAATCAGTGTTGCAATAAAATTGCATATTGGCTTTAGCAACTGTAATGCTTATAATTCTATTTTAATATTACCTCAAGTGAGCATGGGAATTAAGAACTGTGATAGATGGGTAGATGGATTGATTGATAGATAGATAGATAGATATTACACCCATTGTCACCATTTTATCTATAAGAATGTTGCCATATATATCTGTAGTTTTTCTGTACTTTTATTTTCAGTGTTATTATTTTTCAGTCAACTGACTTCATCAATATTTAAGGGGGAAGAGGAAGAAGAAATGAGGAAGAAGGAAAAAGGAGAAGGAAGGGGAAGATTGAAGAGAAAGGAGAAAGAGACAAAGAAGAAATACTCTTTCTATTCTCACATTATATTCATCCACCAGCAAAGGTATTCTAATATTCCACCTTTCTGTATGGAGTACTCAGTAGTTTCTTATTTTTGTGTATTTTATTCCATGCGGCAAGATCAATTGTATTAAATGACAACAATTGTTAATACAGTTAATACTTTCTATAAAATCTATCTGTAAATACAGTGTTGCAACTTTATAATATGCCACAGACAGCTTCAAAATAGAAAATTAAATGGTGTTATTGCATTTCTTTACATATTAAATGAAATGTTAGCTATTCATTTCTTTTACTATTAACCCCTGCAATGCCAATGCTGCACAGCCATCTTACAAAATTAACTGCTGTTTGTTTACATATTAAATTTATTAAAATTCTCACTAATTTTAGTAGGGAATTAAAAGTGAATTCCAAATTTAAGGCCAAAGTAACCAAACTGGACCACTTTTGGTAGCCACTGACCACTGCATGCCGGGAACACTTGCCTTTTTGGAGATGTTCTGACCCATTTGTCTATCCATTACTATTTGGCTCTTTTCAAAGTCACTCAGATTTTTTCACTTACCTATTTTTACTACTTCTAACACACACATGGAATTCAAGAACTGACTGTTCAGTTGCTGCTTAATGTATCCCACCCCATGACAGTTACTATTATAATTATATAATATATGTAATTCATTTCACCTGTCAGTGGTTTTAATGTTTGTTGCTGGTCAGTGTATATAATATGCAGTTATAATAATTTATTTTATAAATTAAATACACATAATAAAAACCTGTTGATTTTTTAAAGACTGGTAAACCTTTTGGTATTTATGATTTTTGCTACGATGACAACATATACCAGGTAATACAAATGGATGTAAATCATGCAAGAAGGTAAAAATAAAAATACTACATGATAACACGGGCTGAATTTATAACTAATAAATAGATATTCCAAAAGTAAATTATATTAATCAACAGAAGGGGAAGTAATGAGTGACATATATTTCAAATATCAAGGCACTTAAAAAGTCACACCATGCATTCGTTATGCTT